GGCACATCCCATGGCCTCTATTTTTTCCTTTTGACTCTTTTTCCTCTACTTTTTTCCTTGATACTGGGAATGTTGGAGACCATATGCATGCTAAACCCAATCCTCCTTCTCCTATTCCTCCTCCTCCTCCTCTTCCTCTTTCTCCTCCTCCTCCACCTCCTTCTTAGTATTTATTGATTTCTCACTGAAGAGCAACAATAAAACCAACTTTTGTACCTCTTTCCATTTTCCCCTACCACTAACTGTTAGTAGTATAGTTTTAGCGTTTTTTACCTTGTAGTGATTTGTAGTTGGTATGTAGCTTAATAGGATCAGTACTGTGTCTCATTTGCAATTCCCAAATACCAAAGGCTCTGCATACTGCTTGTTGTGAAAACCTTCCTTAATGTATTTGCCAAGATAATAGGATGTGAGTTGATAAGTACTGATAAAGTTTCTGTTTACCATTTGTGTGGAATATTTGTAAAGCATGTTGCTGAAATAGTAATGTACATTGATTTGAGATACTTTTTAAGATCTCACTAGTGATGTTATGTAATGTCATAATATGCACAAATAGATGGTTTTTTGAAAACTGCAGAATTTGATATTATGAAACATTTCTGCCTTAAAGATTTTAGATAAAGAATTTTGTGCTTGTACTTGGTTTGCTTAGCTTTGATTCCTGGAGTAAATAATATGAGGCAGGCAGCTATCTCATTCTACTTTTATTTTTGCTAGTTCTATAACTTTTACATACTAATTTTATGTATCATTTTTCATTCTTAATCTGACCTTGGTTTTTTGGGTGTTTGTTTTAGGTTGTGGTTAGATATTTTCACTTCTCACTGCTAGTTTTTGTGCTGCAGTTTTCTCTATCATGTAGTTTGATGTGGTTTAATCTCTTCCTTCTTCACTAGTTGTTTTAGAAGAAGGTCTCCAGTAATTTTTGTATGTTCAGTAATTTTATATTCAATTATATAATTGAATTATGTAATATAAAATTATATTTAATACTTTATATATACTTTGTAAACAACTTATATATTGTATATTTGGAATGGTATTTCTGTAGACTTGATATTCAAAGGATAGCTTGGTTGACATTAAAATTCTTGGTTCATATTTTATTTCTTTGAATTTCTTCTGTTCATTTTTGCTGTAGGGAAGTCTGATTCTGCTAGAGGTTTTTACCCCTGTTGAAATGCTTGTTCTATTATTATTATTATTTATTCTTTTTTAATCATGAGGAATTACTCAAGTGATTTCAGCGTGTATCTTTGACTCATTAGAGTCTAATATAAATTAATACTTTTATTATGCCTTCAACATAGCTAGGACCTTGTATAGGGTATTACTTTTTTATTTCTTACTCCTTTGCTATTATAAATTTTAATTTTATGTGTAACATTTCTTGCAAAACGTTAAGCTTACTATTTTGAAAGTCAGCATTCATTGATACTTGTTTACTCTTTAATTTGAATTTCATTTTCTCTTGCACCTCTTTGTTGTTCTGGCCTTTCTTTTTATTTGAGGAAGTCATTTTAGTTCTTCTGTTAGTGTGGGCTTCCTGTTACAGATTCTCTAATTTTGTTTATATGAAAAATGTCTCACCTTATTTTTAAGTTATAAAATAACATTGATGTAGCACCTTTAGTGTACAGTTCAGTGGCATTAAATGTATTTGTCCTTTTTTGTAATTACCACCATCATATATCTGAAGAACTTTCTGATCTTTCCGAAATGAAACTCTATACCAAATAAAGAGTAATACTTATTCTCTTCTCCCCCAGCCTCTGGCATGCACCATTTTACATTTTGTCTTGATGAATTTGAAGACTCTAGGTAACCCATTTAAGTGGAATAATGTAGTATTTGACCTTTTGTGACTAGCTTATTTCACTGAGCTTATACTTCTAATGTTCATCTATGTTGTTCCATATGAAGTTGCCTTCCATTTAAAAGGGTGAATAATACTCCACTGTATTTATGTATGTGTATACTTATATATGTAGAACATTTTGTTTATCCATTTTTTTTTTTATTTTAAAGAGGGTAAAACAATAAAACCAATCAAAACAAACCAGTGTAAGAGATGCAGGACTTCAAAACATTACAGTATCAATAGTAGTTACCATAATGCCTTTTGATCTCTTCAAAATAGCTGCAAATAACTTTGGACACAGTAAAAATCAAACAACAGAATAGAATAGAAACAATGAAAACAAAACAATGAATGCAATAAAGGACTTCAAAATAAGCCAGTAGTAAATCTAAAATTGCTACCATAATATATCTTGCTATCTTTGTTTATTTTTTTGGTCTTTTTCTTTTTTTATTGGTATCAGGGATCGAACTCATGACTGCCTGCTTGCAAGGCAGGCGCTTGTGCTGCTGAGCTATATCCCCAGCCCCATCTTGCTATCTTTGAAATGGCTGCTCCTGCCATTAGATTTAACATAAACAAAACAAAAGAGAATAAAACCCAACCCAATAAAACAATGGAAATGATATAGAACTTCAAAACAAGACTATGGGGAATCAAAATGACTACAATCCTCTGAAGGAGATTCCCCCTTAGATGCCACATTGTATACCACTATCCTCTGAACCTATTATCAGAACACTGGCCCCACACCTGCAATGTTAGTGTAGCATCAAAGCCCCAGAGGCATCTAATTGCATTTCACCTCAATAGCTATCATCACAGCCTGTGTTTCTCCAGATAGGCCTTTTGGTTACAAGGAGTGGGGGTGGGTTGGGTGTTGTTAGTTCTTGTTTGCCAGCCTGTGTGCTGGAAGGGGCTGAGGTCAGTCTGCTCTAGTCTGGTGGCAGGTGTGCATGGTGCTGGTTCCCAGACTAGGCTTGCTTGCTGGTGTGACCTTGTTCTCTCTCCCTCCAGTTACCCATTATTCTTTTGTAGATGCTTGAGTTGCATCTTCCATTTTGCTATGAAGGTGAATGTATAACTATTTCCACAATTCTCTGATTTAATTCTTTTGACTATAGATTCAGAATTAGATTTTTCTGGATCATATAGTAATTCTATTTTTAATTTTTAACTTTTTGAGAAACTATCATATTATTTTCCTTAACAGTTAGACTACGTTTTATATTTTTTGCTCTATTTCTTAAAAGACATACTTTAGGCCCCTGCAGTGGTCAAGTGCTTAGCTAGTATGAGGCGGCACTGGATTTTATCCCTAATACCACACACACACACACACACACACACACACACACACAATTAAATGCCTTATTTTATTAGTGTTAGAATTCTAGATGGCAGATTTTTTGGACATAAATTATCATTCAGTTGTCGTTTGATATATTTTCTCTGTTAAAAATTCAGCTCTTATTCTTACTGTTGTTCCTTTGCAGGGAATGTGCCTTTTGTTTTTACAGCTTGTAATATTTTTTCTTTGTTTTTGATTTTCAGGAGTTTTATTTTGATGCAGTTGGATGTTTTTTCTCTGTATTTGTCCTGCTTTGGGTTTGTAGGGCTTTATTGATTGATGTCTTTCATTATTTTTAGTAAATTCATGGCTTCCTTATTGCTTTTGCCCCATCACACAGAGATTAAACCCCTTTCAGAGGAGTCACAAATTCAAAACTATTTTCATGTTATCCCTGATATGCTATTGCTCTTTTAACTTGCTACATTGTTTTAATGGTGAATGTAGTTTGTCCTTATTTTTAGGTTTAAATTTTATTTTCACTTTTAATTTCTAATATGGCAAATGTCAGTAAATATAACCATATATACATAATTTCTTGGGAAATCCTATATTTTTTAAAAAGTATAAAAATATTGTTTGGCTAAAAAGTTAGTCTTTTTGACTATGTCCTATATGTTTCTTATATTCTCTTGTATTTTGTATATACTCTTCCTTACATTTTCCTTTTTTTTTTTTTGAGACGAAGTCTTACTATGTATCCTTGTCTGGCCTTGAACTTGTGGTAATCCTCCTTCCTCAGCCTCCCTAGTCCTGGGATTAGAGGGGTGCACCAAAATGCCTGGCTCTCCTTTACATTGTACATTGAATATTTTCTGGTGACTTGTTTCCACAAATCCTTTCTTGATGGTAAGCCATTTAATGGAGTTCTTAATGTAAAAAAAAAATTGTTTTGATCAGGAATTGGACTCAGGACCTCCTGCATGCCACTAAATTATACCCCCATTCCTCTTAATGTAAAAATTTTTAAAAATTATATTTTTAAATTTTGGATTTTCTTCTCAGTTTTTACAAAACATTTCAAGGCTCTGGTGAAATTCTTCATTCTTTCTTCAGTTTTGTTCTTCTTTTCTGATTTTTCCTGTTCTTTCAATCTTAGCATTTAAGCATCCTCAGTGTCTGTGTTATTGTGAATCTTAATTTTCTAAGTAACATGATCCTTTCTCTTGGCATACCTGGTAATTGTGGACTGAGTGTACATAAAAACAATTGTGCAGATTCTGGAAAGTCTTTTTGTTCTTAGGAGAAGGATTGCTTGCTTGCTTTTTATTTTCTAAGGCAGGTACTATGGCAGTTATTTCCTCAGTGCACTCAGGCACTGAGGCGGCTAAATCTAGGGTTCAGCTTTGTCAAAGTTGTCATGCTCTTTGGTTCTTTAATGCTTTTTGATGTCTTTCAGACTTTGGAAAGTACCTGGAGGGAGGCTTAGGGACCTCAGTTGGAGACTGAGTTCTATTCTTTGTTTTTTCTTCTACTCATGACTCTGAAAGTATTCTGCTTCTCTGGGACTATTTGTTTTTCTTCTTAGTTTGTACTTAAGAATTCTGCGAATGTACTGAGTGAACTCTTGAAAGGCTGAGTTGGGAGTATCTTGTGTTTGAATCCAGCGTGGGCAACTTAGTGAGACCCTGTTTCAAAATAACAAAAAAAGGACTAGGCAGGTAGCTAAGTGCAAAGGCCCTAGGTTCAGTAATGCATCAAGGGGGAGGTAGGGGAGGGGAGGAGAATTCTCCAGTTTTGAGAGAAATTTATGCATATTTTGTTCTTTCTGTTTTTCTTTTGCAGAATTGTAATCTCTTATGTCTCCAATTTAAATTACTTGAATTCCATAAAACTGTGAAAAGCTGATTCTTTACCGCTTAGTCACATCCTTCTGCTTGATCCCTTTCCTAGGACCATCAGTCTCTTGTGTGCAGACAGATGCCCTGAAGGTAAAAAAAAAAAAGGGACTGAAGAATGTTGATTTACCCCTTCTCATTGTTCCCATCTTCTTTACTGTTTGTTTTCGTAATTTAGTGTTGGCTGAGCAGCTATGTAAGTTAAGGAAGGAAGAACATCAGAAACATTTGCAGAAGTTCTGGAGAGGTACTAGTTTAGATTGGTGGAGGAGAGCAGAGTTTCAAGAGAAAAGGTTGAATTTCCACAAAAAAGGAATGATGATCAATAGGTAATGTGGCCTTTGTTTTGTACTGGGAATTGAACTCAGTATTTCATGCTTGCCAGGCAGGTACTGTGCCACTGAGCTAAATCCCTGGCCTGGCAACCTGGCTTATCGATAGTAAAGAATATTTATATATCATTAAAACAGTGCAAATGTTATTTATTGGTTTCAAAAATAGAGTATTGGGGATCCATGAAAACAATTATGATAAGAGAGCATAATATATGTATATATACTGTTTACTTTAGTTTGAGAGGCAGAAAAAAAAGAAGTTGGGAGAGCAAATGCTTCATTTTGTATTCATTGCAGGATATATTTTGTTAGTGATATAAGAACTAAAAATGAGTATTATTTAAGTCTTTAGAAAAAGTAAAAATGGTGTAAGTATATTGAAATGAGAGGACTAGAAGACTAAGGTATGATAAGGTGCGTTTCAACCAATGATAACCAGTAGTAGATAATATTTAAAACTGACAAAAACCAAATAACAATATTACTATATTATTTAAAGACATAGGCATACTGCCAAAAAATTCAAAATAGAAATATGTTTAAAAGTTCCAGGTTATTTTCTTTGGAAAATTGGAATAGCAAATTAAGAAGCTTGGAAATTATTAATAAAAAATAAAACTATCCCACAGTTCTACTAAAAAGAATGACCATAACTGCAAAGAGCAGGGAAATGGGTATATAATCAGTTAATTAAAAAGGATGCAAGACCAGAGTCAGGTGGTTTACTCCTGTAATCTTACCAAACTAGAAGACAAGGTAGCAAGATTGCCATTTTAAGCCCAGTTGGGTAACTGAGTGACCTACCAAGATTCTCTCGAAATAAAAAATAAAAAAAGGGCTGGAGATACAGCTCAGTGCAAGGGCCTTGTGTTCAGTCACTGTGGGAAAAAAAAAGGAAGCAAGCAAGAAAGGAGAAAATAATTTCTATTAATATAACTACTTATGTGACTAGATTTAATTTATTGTTTTCCTATTTGTATTTTATTTGTCCCTCTATTTTTCTTTTACTCTTCCTTAGCAGAATTAGAAAAACCAGATAAATTTAAAGGATTTAATTCTATTCCACTATTGGTTTATTAGATGTACCTTCTTGTGTGTATAGCTTTTGTTATTTTTGTGGTTCTGGTAGGTTTACAATATATATCTCTAATTAATCAAAATAATATTTTCAAATGATATAATGCTTCCACATATAACATAAGATTCTTATAACAGTATATTTTCATTTCCAGTGATTTTTTTTTTTTGGAGACAGGATCTTGCTATGTAGTTCAGCCTGGCCTTCCATTCACTTTGTAGTCCCATCTGCCCTCAAATTTGTGGTGATCCACCTGCTTCCATCCAAATGCTAGGATTATGGGCTTGGCTCTCTTGATCTTTGATTTATTATATACATTTTACTTCTATATATGTCATAAATCTCAAAATTTGTTATTTTTGTTGTAAAGTTACCTTTTAGTATATGTGTTGCCAAATGAGCACATAAAGTTCCTTTCAAAGAAATTTTAAAAAAGGTGATGAAAAATATTTTAAAAATGATAAATGATAAAAAAATTTTCCTATATATTTACCATTTCTTAAGCTCTTTATTCCTTTATTTAGATCTAGATTTTGAGAAGCTTTCATTAGCTTTTTGCTTAAACAAATGCTTTTAACTGCTGACAACAAGTTCTCAAGATTTTGTCGAACGTAAATCTTTTATTTGCTCTTGGTTTTGAAGGGATATATTTGCTGGATATAGAATTCTAGGTTTATAGTTTTTCATTGAGTATTTTAAAGGTATGTTTCCATTGTCTTCTTGCTTACATAATTCAGGTAAGAAGTCTGCAGTCATTCTTGTGTCTGAGTTTCTTATATCTTTCCTTTCTCCTGTCCTCTTTCACTTGCTTTTAATATTTATAATTTTTTTTCCTTATTGCGTGTTTTCAGCAACTCTGACAAGCTGTTTCTGACTAATCCACTTTTACACTGAGCATGTCTTTATTTTGCATTGCTATATCATCTTAAGTGAAGACATTTAAACATATAATTTTTAAGTAGGTTTGTAATTACCTTTAATTGTAGTTTTTTGTGTATTTCCTTACGGATTACAATATGGGCTTCCTCCAGAGAAGATATATATATATATATATTTTAGTAAATCCTCAGTAAATACTTATTAAATGAACCTATGATAGGAAATTGCCTGTATCACCAGCATACCCAATATTGTTAAATTTCTGAGAAAAGTTTTTAATGTGTCAAATCAATTTATTTTATTTTATTTTATTATTCAGTAGTCATACTTCTTCTTTTAGAAGTTTATTTTTTTTCTATTTTGGTACAGCTTAAACATTACAAGAAGTTGCCCCTGCTTTCTGTCACTGAGTAAATTGAGTAAATCAGCTTACCTCATAAATTGAACACCTAGTTTATGTCTGTTTCATAACTTTGAGAATTATCCTAAATATGCTCATATGGAAGGATAATTTGTTGATAAGCAATCTTTGTTTTTTCAAGGATGACTAGGTCTGTAAATAGATAATTACTTTGTTGAATTTAGAGTTGATCTGTATAAGGTATCATATTCTCTATTGTATCTGGACTGATCTCTTGGTAATAGATGATATTGAAAATATGTTCTAGGCAAAAGCTAAACATCAGATTTTAATCAGAGGTTATTTCCAAAAAGGAGTACAATTTGTTTTCCCTGCAGTTATTGATTGCAATTTCTTACATTGAATGAATCATGCAATTTTAATGAACTTTCAGAAAGATGTCTTGTAATGCGGTAAACATTGTTAAAGTAGTTTTTTCTCTACCTTTATTTTATTATTTGAGTTTTGTTATCACTCAGTCTGTTAAATTTTATTTTGATCGTTTTAGGATTTTTTTTCCTCTCCAAATGCATGTATTTTCTAGGCTTTAATTCTTATCTTTCAGACTCTTAAAAATACAATCAGTTTAATATCATTTATATAGTTGAATAGTGTATGTGATTTCTTGATTTAGGTAAAAAGTAAAATTATTGAGTAGCGTGAACAGTGTGATGATTCATGTAGAAACTTTTCTTTTTTTTTGAGTGTGGAGGTTTGAACCCAGGGTCTTATACGTGCTAGACAAGTACTCTGCTACTGAGCTATATCTGCAGCCTTTTTTATTCTTTGCTTTTACACAGCATCATGCCAAATGGACCAAGCTGGCTTTACAGTTTTGATCTTTCTGTCCCAAACTCACAAGTAATTGAGATTAATAGTGTGCACCACCAGGCCAGGCTGTATAGATAGTTAATGACTGAAAGGAGGCCTTAGACTAAAGACCATGACTGTTACTGAACTAAACCTACATTGGACTACAAAGGGCTATATCACAAGGCTCACTGTGATACAACAAGATAGTCTGTTGGAATATGATCTGAATCACTGGTTCTGGATGGTAACATTTGAAAATTATTTCTTGGTATTCATCTGTGACCTTGGAGTTATGGATTGTCTTAAAATTTCTTTTCAAGAGAAGGAACACATATGAAAGAGAGAGTAAACTAAATATTTTGTTTATAATTTGCTGTAAAGATGATTTATTATAGTTTAATATTAAACAGCTCCGTAAGCCTAAAATTTATCTCACTTGATTCTAACTGGTGTTTCTCTCTGACACATGGTGTGAATCAACTGTCCTTTCAACTTGAAAGAGCAGTGAATTCGCTGACGCAACTCCTTTGTTCTGGGGAATTGTTTCCATTGTGCCTTCAAAAGAGAAGGACATTAAAAGCGTTGGCTCATGGTAAGTTCTTTCCAAGTTGGACACTGTTGGGGGGCTAAATATTGGTTTAAGGAAGTGAGATTGGTGAGTTATTCTATTGGATTTTTAAAAAAAAGCTGAATATTAACTTTTTCAGATATGTATTTAACTTTATGTGATCAGTGGTCTCTCATTTCTCTTTAAAAATGGAAACCATTAAGTTTCAGTTTCAAATGTTCATGTTCTCCTTTTTTATATTCTGGAATTATTTTGTTTTCTTCTCTTCTCCATAGTGAATTTTCTTTTGTGAAAATCCTCTTGTGCCTACTTACAAAGGGAGACATGGAAGTGGAAGTTTGAATGACAAAATCATTGTCCTGAAAGATCTCAATAGCCTGGAAAAATGGACTATCATTGTAGTAGCTACTAAATTGTAGATTCAGAATACCAATTGCAATAGCAATACACAAAATATTAAAAGATATTAGATGACTGTTGCTGAATATATAGCATAATATGATTGTCAAAAGTGCTTAAACAGCGGGGTAAGGTAGTAACAAAGCTTACCTTTGGAAGGCGAAAGAGGAGAGTTATAAGTTCTAGCCCAGCCTGGGTACCCTAGTGATTTGTGAGAACTCTTATCTTGAAATTAAATAAGAAGAAGACTAGGGCTATAGTTCAATGTAAAGACTGAGTTCAATACCCAGCACCACAAAGGAAATGAAAAGGAACACAACACAAAACAGAAAACAAAAAGACCCCACATAAGCATTACTGTTAGAAACTGAAAAACCCGGTTAAAGGAGATATACCTCATGTTCCTAGTTTGACCATTCTTGATTTAAAAATTGCTAATGTTTATGGAATGCTTTTAGTGTGTCAGGAAAGAGAAGTTTAATAACTTGCCCAAGGTCACATGATTCATAAGTAACAGCACCAAGGCCTTAATGTGGCTTGTTCTTGACCACTGTGCAATACTGCCTGTTTAGTTTTGTCTTAAGAGTTCATACTAGAATGTGTTTAGAAGGTGAAAACTTG